TTCCGAAATACTAAACAACCAAAACTAGCTAAAAACGTAAACATACACACGGAAATTACAAGTGTATCAATGATAGGAGAAACTTTTTTTAGCACACCAAATGTTCGTTCAATTGCATTCATCAATGCTGAATGTCGATGATTAAATAGTTCACCTGCATTTTGTGGCGCGTTGCGACGAGAGTACTCCTTCAAGTGATAACGTTGCCCACGGCATCAACGAGATAATATTTTCCTAAAATAATAGAACTGATCATATAAATTCTTATGTTAAGATTTATTAAGAATAAACTTAAAATTAATGCATTATAAATACCTTCTGGGGCTTTGAGAGGATATTCTCTTGATAATGCTTCTTTGATAATTCTAGAGTCAGATGTGGTGCCTTCCCATCCAGCTAATACGTATGTGAATTTCAAATAAAATGAACAAGCAGCCAAAACATTTAGGGTGGGTTTATCTTTTCTACCACGATATTTCGGCACCTCAGTAGGTGAAACTTTTACTGCAATGTGTCCATCAATAGCCCCAACACAATCCTGACATTTTACATTTAATTCAGTATTTTAATTTTATATGTGCTACTATTAAAATCTAAAGATAATAGTAATTTTCACCTTGAAAAATGGATAATATCGAGAGTTGTCACGAATTTCTGGAGGAACTTCAGACCCGTTTGGTTGTATAAGAAATCTATTTTCCACTTCCAATACAACTCTCAAGACATTGTGAAAGTGACGGCTATTCGATTCTCCAGAACGATAGAAGAAAAAAGCTATCACACGATTTTTCACATTATGTGCTAGCACATAAAGGGTTTTTGCAACCTGTTCTTCAACGCTAACATATATTGAAGGTCGAAGGCCGCCATATCTAACTAAAATATCACAAAGACCTACGAATGCTTCTGCGCTCAATCTTATGATACTGCGGCCTAAATAATGAGTTACCATCCTGTCGAAAAGCAAATTCCTTACTCTTTCTCCCTCCAATGTGAGAACGCGGTTCACTTTTTTTCTTCGACGCAATCCGACCCAATACATAACAATGCATATAACTTTAGCTATAGCTAAATGATGCATTCGAGTCACTTTATATAAATCTTGCACTTCAATTCTTCTACCGGTCATCCTTAATAAAACATAAAACAAATGAAAAACTATCACGTAGATGAAATATAAAGCTATTGTAGAAGCCTAACTATAGCTACTAGCCACTTTAAAAACAAAATTTAATATTTCTGAAGTTCATTTCAGCCCAACAAATATAAAGTGAAGTAACCAACACACCAAAATTTAAGAAACGGGCTGTTGTTTTTAGAGAGAAAATGCTCTGTTGCATTTCTTGATATAAAATAATATCATTGGTTAAAGGGTCATTGCAACTTGGTGAACTTGCTATCAATAATTAATGGACAAAGAATCATGATGGATACTTGGTGAACTTGCTATCAATAATTATTTTCAAAAAAAAAATTGCTATAAAAAATTAATGGACAAAGAATCATGATGAATTGTAGCTTTGAGGTAGCAGAAGATGTGCAGAGGATATGATTCAAAGATTGGGATTAATGAGTTGAAGACTACACATCAGCCGGCCATATATATGGCATATATATACACACCGGCCATATTTTTAATTTTTATTTTTATTTTTTGAATTTGAAAAGGCTCAATTTAAAAATTGCAATTTGATTATACAAACCTAAAAACTCAAAAATTAAAAGACCTGCAAACATATAAACGTATGTTTTAAACATACACTTCGAAAATATAAACATACAAACCTAAAATTGCAATATGAAAAGGCTCAATTTAAACATACACTTCGAAAATATACTTGCAAACATATAAATGTATATCTATTGAATAACAATAGATCAGCTAGTGCAAAATACATATTCTATAACTGACATTTCATATGGGGTTGCTAGGAGCCGTAATAGTAAGCAGGAGCGGGGTCTATTTCATAAATAGTTAAAGATTCATGCCACTTTGACGGGTACAAATTGATATTATAAATCTTATTCTATAACGGGTGTACGAAACACCGACATTAAAGGTAAAAACGGGATTATATTTATAATTTCCTTGAAAATGGATTACATTCGGGGTCTTTTTTATGAATTTAAAGAATATGATTCTATGTCCCTTCATTTTGAACCCTTATGGAAAGATGTTTATGCGGAGTATTTACCAAAAACATAACCTTACTTGGTTGAATTGCTAAAGACACTCCTGGATGCCGGCTCTCAAGTCTCAACCGCCGCCACTACACCATCGCCACTCCACCATCTCCGATCTGCCATCGCCGCTCTGCCATCGTCGCTCCACCATCGCCGCTCTGCCATCGCCGCTCCATCACCCCCGCCTCACCCTCGCAGCTCCACCACCGCCGCCTCACCATCGCCGCTCCACCATTGCCTCTCTATCTTCCATCGCGAGTCACCCATCTTCCACTACAATATCTTCAAAATATACCTCCATCAACCGCATATTCATATTTATTTTTATTTTTATATATGCAATATTGGTCATACAAATGATAATAATAATAATTTATGAATTTTGATACATTTTTTTGTAAAAATTCTTTTATAAATAAAATACTCCCTCTGTCCCGAAAAGGTTCGCCAACTTTGACTTTCACGTGGATTAATAAAGTAAAAACTGTGTGGTTGAAATTTGTGCAGAGGAGCTGAGAGAAAATTAATTTTAACCACATATTTCTTACGTTAAATGGAAATGACAAATCTTTTTGGGACTCCAAAAAAGGAAATTTGGAAAACCTTTTCGGGATGGAGGGAGTAAGTTATATGAATTTTAAAAAAGATACGTAGTAATTTTTAGCGTCCTATGTGTTTTCACCTTTTCCCTGAACTGCTAGCATCCTTTGTGTTTTCTGATTTTTTTAGAGAGAAAGGCGTTAACTGAGCATTTTGTTGATTCGATTTGAGGTGTTTTAAATAAATATTTTACAACTTAATGTCCCTTATTGGCACTTTCAACCAATAAATAAAATGCCCCCTAATTGAAGCATGTTCAAAATTATTTATGTTTGTACTTATACAATATTGGTGTCATATCAAAGATAATAAAATATCATGAATTTTGATATATTTGGAGAATTTAGCCAACTCAATTGGGGGCTTCGGAGTTAGTATTATTTTGGGAAATAATTTTAAATCGGTCTTAATTTTGTAATAATATTTCATATAACATTATTTTGGAAACAAAACTCGCTACAATGTGGTGAGGAGCACTTTTAGTAAAAAAAAAATTAAAAAGGGTAAATATTTCTTACATGGTTTACCTTTAATAATTCTAGGGGCCCATAAAACAATTCTTTAAGGTAAGATATGTTTAATACCCCCAAGTCACCAACTTCTCAATGAGATTCTTGAACTAGGAGAGACTGCCTAGCCTATAGATATAGTAATCATTTTATAATATTTAAGTTGTACCATACAACTTTATTGATATCACTATACTTGAGAACTCAAATATTCATAAATTATCATATGAACATACTATATATAAGTCTACAATTGAGAAAGCAAATTTATATGTATAACTTTGTCGGTAACATATCAATTATATAGACATTACTCATACTCAATTATCTTAATTTTTTTTGGATGAAGTCAATTATCTTAATTAGAAATATAAAATATATTGTCATTTTTTAATACATAGATATATGCATCCTTCATATCAAAGACTCTCTCCGTCCCTTTAAATTTATCCCACTTACCTTTTTGGAACATCCAAAAAAATCTTCACATTTCCCTTTTTGGAAAGCTATGTGTGGCCAACATTAATTTATTTTTTCCTACTCAACCACAATCATATATTTTCACTTTATTCTCACATTCTTAAACTTCAACCCAAGTCAATTCGGGAATAATTTTATGAGACAGGGGGAGTATCGAAAAAGTTGAAACAAATATTATGAACCCAAACATGGAATGCCCGAAAATATATTGTAACATAAATCTTTGATGTTTTCTTAGTATGAATTCAGGTATCGAATTTTTTAAAAGGTAACGTGCACGCATTGTAGAATTATTAATTGCTACCAATCACAATAGGTAGCATATTTGTCGCCACCATCACCTTCACAATAGTTAAACAACGCAGTACATTTCAGAAAATCATTTGACTGTCTTCCCGATTGAATTTTTATCTAAAATTTGGTATGGGCAAACTAGACTTAATGAAGAAGATGGTCAAAAAAATTCATCAAAAAATTCCACCGGGAACCGCCCCAAATGGCGATGGCCGGACAGAGCCTCCTATAAAAGGGGTGATTTGACCCTTTTAAGTTAGTTCGAGGACATATTTGACTCTTTTCCCTAAAAATTATAATGTCACAATATTATATATTTTAAACTCTTTTCTTAAAGATAGAGATCGAAGGACTAATTTGAAAAATTCTAAAACCTAGAAAGACTAATATGTTAAAAAAAATGACTGCACCCGATTTTAGACACATAAATAAAAAGATGTGTAGTTAGTTGTGAGAAAATAGTAAGCGACAGATCAAAATTGAATGGATAAAAATAGACATTGAGCATTTTTTTTTGTTTAGATAAAGATAGTTGAAAAGATTAATTTCATTTGGATGCAATTGAGAGTTACAAAAAAGTGCTCTTTTTATTGAAAAATATAGACGACAAACATGTTTAGATAATTAGTTAAAAAAATAAGATGCTACATACAAACAAATTGTCATTTAACGGTATTTTATAACTGTAAATTACCATCAGTATAGGAGACCTACACCTATAGTAGAAATATGCATTACAAATGAATGTTATAATCGACCAAATAACGTAACTTATTTTCCATTAGTAAAAGTAAAAACAAAATCATTTTATCCGTGCATGGCACGTGTACAAGTACTACTTTAATACTATTTCTGAATGATTTAAGACTAATTCTATTTGTGATTTTTTATTTTTTAGGCAAATTTTAATTCTTGCAATTTGTATTCACTAATGTTTTTGGAAACCACTCTGAGCTATAATACCTAAGTTAGAGAGCACTCTTCATCTTCAAGTCCTCCCCACTTTCACTGCTCCCCCATCGTCATGCTCCCCGCACCCATTTCCCTAATCTTGAAATTTTGATTTGTTGAAAGTAAGGTTTTGCATGCCTATAAACAAATATAGAGTTAGGACTGAAGATTAACGCAGTTCTAGGTTCGAGCAGATGCGAGAGGCGAGAGCCTTTTCATTTTTACCAATCTCCTTTCTTTCACAATCATCTTTGAAGCTGTAGCTGAAACCTGAGCTGGAAAAGTCCCAGAATTCTTTATCTGTGAAAATCTGCATTCTCTTTTCACCGCTGCAAATGTGGTGTTGGAGTTGATAAGCTTATGAACATGGAAAAAGGATTTTACTTGTCAGTGACTTAGGGTTTAGATTTGTAGAATTAGGTGGGGAGCTGTGGTGCGGTGGTTTGGAGATGGACGGAAGAAGGATAACGGCCAGTCCGCGGCCGTGCTCTGGACGACGCGTGTTGGCGAAGAAGAGACCCCGGGGTGCCATGGATGGGTTCGTTAACAGCGTTAAGAAGCTCCAAAGGAGGGAGATTTCATCGAAGCGTGACCGAGCTTTTAGTATGAGCGATGCCCAGGAGCGATTTCGCAACATTCGACTCCAGGTCTGTTAGATTATGCATAAGTTTGTTGAGGAAACTGAATTCAAGGAGTCCTCTTGCTAAGCTTGTGCAATATTGCTTCTCAGGAATTTATTTTCATCTTATTGTCATAAGTGTCAATTTAAAACTTAAATCTTGAGTTGAATGCTATATATTTAAGTGGTTTTCTGTGAAATGTGAAAACAAATTCATTGTTCCAGTATTAATACTTCAATTGCTGACATTTGTGATTGATGCGGGTTGCTACCAATCTGGATGGTGTTCGTCCCTCTGTTCACTGTGAATGCACTATTAATACTTTGGGCCTAATTTAGGCTTGAAGTTGTGGTCAGAAAACAAAAATCTTGTTTGAAAGTAATCTTGAAAAATACTTGTAATAATTTGCTGTGGAAATGTGCTTTCGATGGCTTAAAATGTTCTCCATTGAAGTTGAGAAGTGCTTTTCCCCCTCAAATACAATTCTCAAAACTCAAAAGTTTTTTCGGACGAACATTTGCATTAGTGTGGCTTTTGGCATTTCAATTCAACCTGTGGACTAAATTATGTATTTTTTTGATTATTTTCATGATTAAAATGAGCTTATCCTATTGCAAATGCAATTCTCAAATGGGCCTTTGTTATGGCATCACAGTCTTTTAAATATGTTATTGATTATTTGAGCTTCAGAAGGAATATGAAAACCGAGATCCTTTAAGATCAGTCTCATGTTACATCATGTTTTGAAGAAAAACTATTTTACAAATCTCCTGGATAAAGCTTTTCTCTGGTGGCTGGAAACAGTAGATTTAAAACATTGCTGTGCAGGATCATATTTATCATTTGCTTCAAAGTCTATGAGATCTATCATATTTTATGTGCTTTATGATCCTTAGGTCCCACCTGGTAGCGTTGATGTGCTTATTCTTCTTTCCAGTAGAATAAGCTGAACAATCAGAACAAACAGCATTTGAATTACTTATTTGTGAAATCTAAATTACCAAATGCTTTTATTTTTATTTTTAAAGTATCAGCAGATTCGATAATTACTCTTACCAAATGGGCTCTTAGGCTCGTATTCGTTCTGAGAGGATCTGTGTCAGTCCTCCCATTTTTTATAGTATTATTTCAAAGATGTATGTACATCTTTTACACAAAACCGTAAGTAGTTAAATCGGCCAACTCGGTCAAGGGCCGAGTAGCAAGTATGACCGAGTACTCAGAATTACTCGGTGATTACTCAGTCCTATATTAAGCTATTAATTATATTTAAAAATATGTATGCCCCAAAAATCTAGTACTACGTAATATATTAGTCTTTGGATTCCTAGATATGAAAAAAGTAATCCTAATAATGAAGTAGCAAAAATCTTAAAAATTTCTAAATTTTCAAGTAAACCAATCATCTAATAATTTTGTCCGGATTCTCCGGAACTAACCTTCTTCGGGTTCGTGGTCGTCATTTTCTTCTTCATCCTCCATACACACATATTATTTATATATTCTATAGTATCCCACTGTAGTTTAACCTTTTTAGATTTAACCCAAACAGTGGTTGCTGAGTAACTCGGCGAGTCAAACTTGTTAACGAGTTAAGAAAATCACTGAGTACTCAGAGAGTAACTCAGAAAACAGAACGCAACAGGTCAGAGAGCTAATAGGCAAGGCCACCCCCGAGTCGTGAGTACTCACCAAGTAGATAACACAGACAAAACCCAAACACATACTTCTGTTTTGAGTGCTCTTCTTTTTTGAGTGTTTTGTAATTAATTGTAAATGTCACTCAGGAGGAATATGATACTCATGATCCGAAAGGACATTGTGATATGATACTCCCGTTTCTGAAGAAAAGGTCAAAAATTATTGAGATAGTTGCTGCATGTGATATTGTCTTCGCTCTTGCACAGTCTGGTGTATGTGCTGCATTTAGCCGAGGTAAGCAATCACCGTCGTGATCTATCCTTCTACTTTGTTTTCATATTCATGGGTGATTACTTAATGAGAAATTGTAAGATTGCAGTGAGGCTGATGTTTGTCTATTGCCTATGCAGAGACCAACAAAAGGATTTGTTTTCTTAATGTCTGCCCAGACGAAGTTATACGGAGTTTGTTTTACAATAAAAATAATGATTCTCTCATCACTGTCTCAGTTTATGCTTTGGATAATTTTAGCTCCTTGAAGTGCCGGACCACAAGGATCGAGTATATGCACTTCTAATTCCTACTCTATTTATATTTGCTACATATATCTATGCTGTTTGTCTAATATGTGCCATCTTTATATTAGATATATAAGAAGGGGAAAACCAGATTCCGGCTTTGCACTTTTTGATTCAGAGTCATTGAAGTGGCCTGGTTTTGTGGAGTTTGACGATGTAAATGGGAAAGTTCTAACCTACTCTGCCCAGGATAGGTAGTAATTCAGCTATTATATATTGCCTATGTGATATACCTGTATTTGTAATGTTGTATGTTTGTTTGCTTTTTTCATTCTTTTTTATTCAATCAGCATATACAAGGTGTTTGACCTGAAGAATTATACAATGCTGTATTCCATATCAGATAAAAATGTTCAAGAAATTAAAATAAGGTCAGTGGTTTTACTTCTTATTGACTATAACTGATGCATTCTTCCTCCTAATTATGTTGTTCTCTGTGTCTTTTTGGGAAACAGTCCAGGAATCATGCTATTGATATATGCCAAGGCTAGTTGCTATGTTCCCCTTAAGATTCTGTCTATTGAAGATGGGTCTATACTCAAATCCTTCAACCACCTACTTCATCGAAACAAAAAAGTTGATTTTATAGAACAGTTCAACGAGAAGCTACTTGTCAAGCAAGAGAATGAGAATCTTCAGATTCTTGATGTGAGCCTACTTTTTAAAATTGCAGATTTATGCCCCCCCCCCAATAATTGATCCATTTGGAACTAGAACAATGTCAGGGGAAACAAATATGTAAGAAAATATAGAGGTGATTTGGAAGGAAATATAGTGTGAGGGAAAATAAAATATATTTTCATATCTCCATAGTTTTTTTTATAATTGCTCAAATTGGATAATTTTTTTATGTTTGTTCAAGTTCGTTTTATATATCTTTTTGTATTATATATCAACTGAAAAATCTAGTCATATATAAAGTAAAAAACCATATGTAGGAAGTTTTAAAATGTTAATCTTAATCCATTTTAAGTTAATCTTTTGCACTTTTCAAGGTAAAACCTAACAAAAGAAAACTTTGCTCCTTGGATTCTTGTATTATCTTCACCATAATATTTTCCGTGATCCAAACACACTATTAGAGTGTGTATCTAATGAATTTCATCCGTTCAGGTTCGTAATGCTGAGTTAACTGAAGTTAGTAGAACAGAGTTCATGACCCCATCAGCATTCATTTTTCTGTATGAGAACCAGCTATTCTTGACATTCAGGAATAGAACGGTTGCTGTTTGGAACTTCAGAGGAGAACTTGTGACGTCTTTTGAGGATCACCTTTTGTGGCATCCTGATTGTAATACTAACAACATTTACATTACTAGTGACCAGGACCTTATCATCTCCTACTGTAAAGCAGATTCTTACGACCCTCTAACCGAAGGAAATGGTGAGTCTGCATGTGTATATTTGATACACCCTCTGTATAAAAAAGGGTCATATTTGAAAACTTATTTCATCCCAAGCAGAGTCATACCTGATCCACACAGATGCTATTTCTTATTATATTTAATGTGTTTCTTCCAAAAAAGGACTTCAAGTTCAAACAAGTTAAGTATGCTGAATTGACTTAAACCAGCAACTTATTTGGGTGGGGTGGGGTGGAGGTAATGGTATATTTAGACAATATAAAATATAACATAAGGGGATAATGGCCACAGTCTTCACTGCTAGATGGTATGTATTGGTTTTATCAGGTGTTTGATATTCCCTTGTGCCTAGATCACACTGTTCTCCCCAAGTCCTTGTTGGTTGGAAATTTCAGAGGGGAGGGAAAGAAAGTGAAGGAATTGTGTGTGTTTGGTTTGGGGAAGCTAGTCGGGAAGGGGAGGAAAGTATAGGAACTCAAGAGGACTAGACTCATCCAAACTCCTCATATCACTCTTCAATTCGGGAAGGGGTGGAAAGTAGAGGAGCTCAAGACAACTAGACTCATCCAAACTTCTCATATCACTCCTCAATTTAATGTGTTTTGGAAGAGTTATAGTTTCCTAATTTGTCTCGCCTTTTTTTGTATATTTAAGTTGCTCTATATTTTTGCTATATGTAGAGACTATTTTTAACTACAAGATAAAGTATTTGAAGTATAATATGTTTATTTTCCTGAAGTAATAACCACCTCACTCCATTGAGTCAAACATAAGATCTTTTTGAACTCTTCCCTCCCACCCAAACCAAACAAGGGCAAAGTTTGTAATGAATGTTGATCTGGTAATGCAGCGGGATCCATCAATATCAGCAACATCTTGTCAGGGAAGTGCCTTGCTAAAATAAAAGCAACTGATAATGATACTGCCTCGAACAGTTGCGATTGCACCACCCATTGTGGCGGCAGGAGCTGCAAATCTAAGAGAGTCCAAGCAACCTCAAGAATTAGAAGCACTGTTGCAGAAGCACTGGATGACATCACTGCTCTCTTTTATGATGAAGACCGTAATGAGATTTATACCGGAAACAGGTGTGGTCTGGTTCATGTTTGGTCTAACTGAACATTCTCCGGTATGTTACTTTGTTAATGATTTGACTTGTCCTAATGGAGTCTTTGTGATTTCTAATGTTGCGTAAGTGTGCTTTTCGTTATCTAAAGCTTTATACTGAAGATGCTACAATGCGGTTGAGCTGTACTAAGAATTGACTTGTAGTGGGTTTATCTGCTTTGTGGTTAGAAGTTTGTACACAGAGTTGGTGAATATTATCTTCAAACAATTCATAAACAATTCATAAGAGTGTTATGTTTAATGCCCATCTTGAACGCTTCTACTCGAGATAAATAAACCATTTCAAACAGGTTCTAGTGTATTGTAGTGCAGGCATGGGCTACCGCTCTCTTTCCTGGTATGCCAAATGCCACCAACACTATTGTAGGAAACTACTCCGTATATTGTAGGATAAGGATTTGCCCGGGGTATACTGCCTGTCCCTGTTTTAGGCTGTATCTTTTATAGGAAATGAGTGGTGGGGCCTTAGCTAGAACTGGCCGGTCTCATCGTAAAATGGAAGAAACAGATCAGGATATGGCATGTCATGGTTCCGGTAAGAGTTAATAACTGGATGTTCTTGATATGTTTCTGTTCTCAGACTTTGTCCATCACTAACCGAGTAACAGCAGGTGTATTGCATGTATGCTTAGTAAACTACGGTTATGTGAATGAAAGTCTGTTTGGTCAACTGAAGTTGATGAATAATCCTGTTTGCTTGTGTTTGTCTGTGCTACTTGTTCCCCCAAAATTGAGATATGCAATGGAAATGCATCCATTTTGGATCTTTGAGCTCAAACACCACTTGTACCACGTTTGGAAGTAGAACTTAACTTTAATAATCTACACCCCGGTTACATACTTACATCGAGTAATCTATAATTTCAAGGATTGTGTATTTTGCGCTTTGGGGTTTGGCCACCACAACATGGTGGAGGTTTCGGTTTCTATCTTATATTCATTCTCAACCTTCGAGACATTTTGTTTGTGGGTTAAGGCCCGAAACCGGCTTGGGATTCTACCGGGACCGGGTTCAATGTTTTTCTTTTTAGCGTTTCTAATTAATTCCAAGTTCCAACCACCAACCCCCCAAAACACCTAGCCCAACCCGCCTACCACCTAAACAATTTGGGAAAAAAAAGTGGGCTTGGACCCAGCCGGGCCGGTACCAAAGGAGGTGCAGCCCAGAACTGCCCCCAAAAATACCCCGGGCCAGTCCTTGGCCCGGAACTGGTCCCAGTCAACCGGGCCACCCCTAGCAATATCAAATCTCCAAAACGTAAGACCATTTGTGGTGGTAAGGCATTAGGAGTCTAAAATGCTAAAAATGGAGATTTTGGACTCTTAATTTCTTACATTGGAGAGTATTTTAGGAGGCTAAAAATGGAAATGGGGAGGGAGGAGTCCAATTCTAGCCGGCCGATTGACTCTCGTGAGAGTGCTACTTTGCCAAAAATAAAGGAATTATGAGCGGTGGGTAGTTAGTGGGCTCCAGAAAATAAAACTTCATCTTTCTTAAAATTGTTATAATTTGTTTTTTATAAATCAAATTTTAGAAAAAAAATATCAACATTCATAACTTTTTATAATCTTTCATATGACACCAATATGCAATATATAAAATGAAAACAAAATCTGAAATTTCAACTATTGAAGTTTTCATGAGCCCAAGAAAAATCAAAACACAATTTTTTAATTCATGTAGCCTTCACAAATAACCTAATATTCCGTAATCAAACTTTACTTGAACTAAGTTCATTTTTTGTTGACCGAAAAATGTTAAAAACATAAATAATGAAATTTATTTAATTTTACATCGAAATGTGTGTTTTTATTTCATAATTATTCAGGAAATAAATTAAAAGAAAAAAATTACTTATAATAATTTAATTAATGTTTTACTAAATTGATATGTAAAAAAATGTGTAGAATCTTATGGACGGTGCTGAAATGCAGAAAAATAGGAGTCAAAACACTATTTTCATATGGACGGAATCCATTTTTGACATTTAGACTCTCACACCACTCCAAATGGTCTAAAGTGACATGTTATTTCTGTACAAAACCCATTTTGCTCCCAACTTTATTTAGAAATGGTATGATTTAAACAAAAAAAATAAAATCACAATATAGATGGTATTTATTTCCATGTGAAGGTTTTGCTGCCATGCTGCCGATTCTACTGGTCCATTGAGAATAAATCAACAAAAACAGAACATGGCTATCAGTGGTTCGTTTACGTACTAGCTAGCAATAAAAACAAGTCTGTGCTCAAAAATAACTAATACCGGATTACCGGATTACCAGCACATGCCCACACGGCAGTGGAAAACCAAACAAATGGAAAACAAGGGCAGAAAAAATGAGTATACATATAACATATTACACATAAAAAATGAGGAATATAAGTTGCTATTTTGTACTACTACGATAGTATATACTACGGAGTATATAGCAACAAAAAAGTCTCTTCTATAATATCCAATTAGGAATAAACTTTACTGAAACTATGAAAGTTTATTATAAATGAAGTGCTTGTACTTGTAAAAATTGCTTAGTTAGTACTTAGTAGGTACACTTATGTAGTTATGTTGCGGACTTGGAGCAACCAAACAATGGATATGCATTTTTGAATTTGGATGAAAGGGTTTACATGAACCTCCCCCCCCATTCCATTGTTTCCACCTGTGGTACCGAAAATGGTGTATCCATATACGGGTTACAAAAGGCAATTCGTCTTTTCTTTGCAGAACTTGCAACAGCCCTCTGCAACTCTGCAAGTATGTTTCCGTCCTCCTCGAACCTCTTGTTTACCCATATGACTTGGTTATTTTCAGAACCAACTCTGTCAACATGAATGACTTCAGTGTTACTTAGGAGCTAGTTTCATGCTTCTGAATCATGTCTAGTGCTTATCATCATCTTGTTGGCAAACAAGTTATTAGACTATTACCAGTCCAAAGTTTTTATATGTGCCAAGCACGCAGTTGATGCAGGATCCTCAAATTGATCCTAAGGAACTGCCTACACATGGTGTGTTATCTAAGAAGATGTCTCCCAGTAACACGACGATTGCTTTCCGCTTTAGATATATTCTCGAGCTCTTGGGTGGTTGTCTAATTACATAAAAATGCAAAAACATTTTTTTCATAGTATTGTACTACTGTGTCTTGTACCTCCCTGGAACCATAAATTGCGCTATAATAGACATAGTTTGAGTTATAACGACTCAAAAGCCTTTCTTGTCAACTACTCGTTATATACACAATATTGTCATGTTTCATAGGATCTTAGAAGATACAATCAACCACTTTCTTGTTCCATTATATTCCATTCGCAACCTGCTGTTATGGATACATTTTTTATTATTCACCGGAATTTCGAATGAAAACACATTTTTGTTTTCATTTTTTTCTGAAAATGAAACATATAGAGCCCATTTAGTAACACCATAATATGTTGAATCGACTAAATCTGATGGAATTTGTAAATTCTAACCGGAACGGTTAAATTAGATGAATCTATTGACTTATAAAAGTATTCTATTTTAGTAATTAAAACAGAGAAAAAATTATACGAAGAAATTGGTAAAATTGGCCTGTTCGGCAAATTCAACCAGAAATCTAAGTAACTCCAATCTTACTTAATCTGATTAGTACACAATTCACCGCACAGAACAAAAAATTATGTGTCGTAAAAAAATTGGTGAGCTGATTATAAAATAACTGTTTTATGGATTATTAATAGTGAGCTGATTTCATGGGAACCACACAATATAAAGTGTAGTTATGTGGAATGTAATAACGTAGTACTGTAGCTTATAAAGTGTAATGCAATCAAATATTTACTTAACAAATACGGTAAATTACATTATGTTATATATTTCATTATGTCTCTTACCATACTACGCCCAAACTCTCTTTCTGGGGATAAGGTCAGATGTTTTAACCATATCTATTTTGGCAGCTAGAATGAAGTCATTCAGGCTCAACCCTCCTGCAATTATATATGTTCTTGATTACTCAAACGTGTAAAACTGCTGTAATAATCAATTAAACACATGCTGTGGAAATGTAGAAACCATTTAGACATAGAGCACATATCCTAAAAAGTGAACTCAGTAAGAATAAGAACATTAATCCAAATTCTCAATGAGTTTATCTGTGTTGTAAAATGAATGAACCAAAAAATGATAAGACTGGTCACCATAGCAAATATGAAGTCCGTGTATTGTTAAAGATACATACGAAACCAAATTGCGTATCCCAGTATTTTTATACACGGTTGTAAATTCGAGCTTAATAGGCTCAAATACCATATTGCTACATTGAGATCTTACCATGACATGCCAATTTGATAAGAGAAAGCAATTCAAAATCTTATTTACGGGATAGCTTACTAGGAAATGAAAGGACTGGTCATCCATAAATGAACTTTCTTGATTAGAAATAACATTCACAAAACACTCATTCCAAAACATGAGCATGCCACAGTTCTTTATGATGTGGTTGATTTTATATAACGGGGGGGGGGGGGGGGGGGGTCAGCATTTGTCGGAGAATCTAGCAGATAAACCAGATATATGAATACTAAGGAGGCAATGAGAATATGTACCTATGGAAGCAGTCCACAAATGAGCTCTAACTTGGTTAGGCTCTTCCTCCGGCTGCTCTAAGTGAAGGTTAGATGCGGAATGACCGGTCCCTTCCACTGCCTTTTGTATTCTATTGATGAGTTCAACACTACAGCCAGAGTCTCTCAATTTCCATGTACATTGCAGCCTGAGCCCCCCTTCTTCATCTATCAGCCTCCACCCAACAACCTATTCATAATCACATCCCATTAACTTTATATTTATGAATATTGTCATTTGTCAAACCTAACTCAACCCCCAAAAAAGTTCTCAAAAATTGTGGTTGGTAATTGAATGAAGTTGAAATTGCTGAACACTTACAAGGTGACATTGCGATGACCCTAAATCAAGATAATGTCTTTCTTACCATTGTAGTAAAGAGATTGCAAAAAAGCAATTATTTCACAATAATAGTTACATTATTGATTGATTTTAAAGAGTTTTTCCTTCTGAAATATAGCTAGACAAAAAATATTACAAATTTACAACTATAGTGCAGAATCTACTGTAGTTGAAGTTACTAAAGTATAAAAAGCCAATTATTGTACAATTTCTTATTTCGATAGTATGTTTGTCCTATGAGTTTTGCCTCAATTCTTCCGCATTTAGTCTACGTCTTTCACTTTATCAACTTTTGATACTTCACTAATGTCTCTTGATCATTTTTGGTCCTTTTCCACTGATTTTAATCACGGGAAACATCGACAATAGGACCATATATCAGACGTGGACCAAAGGTGGAATTTTTTCTTATAAAATATAAATAGCAAAAGATCATAATTTTACATAGAGGGTTGGTGTTTAAAGACATTCTCACTTGGGGAGGAAAATGTAAAAAGAAATTGACCTTGAGCAGCATCTGGCGAGCTTCAAACACAGACATGGGAGGTTGATGGGGATTAATGGGAGCACAGTCTAGTTGAGCAAGCGAGAGAGCAGAAGCGTTTGGGATGAGTATCTTGTGTTCGGTGCCGGCGTTTCCCAAGACATTCTCGCAGAAATTGCTCTCAATCTCAGCTGGAAATGGGTCTCTGCCTCCGAAATCGCCCAGTAAGTCTGTGTATTTCCCAGAGGCGGCGGCCATAACTCTTCTTGTACAAGTTGGAGAGTGAGATTTGTGAATGCGAAGGAGAGTGGAAAAGGTGGAATTTTTTAATTTGTGGGTTGACGGGGAATATGAAGGAGGGAGGCATAGCTGAGTAGTTGCTGCAGCTGCCGCCATGGATTTGCTTGAGAGAGACGAGTGCGGGAAATTCGTTATCCACTTCTGCAGACACAGTGATGTGGAGGCTCCTCACTTTGGGTTCCGGTAGTTAAGAACTCACTTCTGCAGACACATGATTTAATGATTTACGGAGTACGAGTATTAGTTTTAAGTTAAAATAGGTCCGAATTTGAATGAAATTGTAAATGATGAAATGCTTGATAAACTTGAGTATCTTTGGTGACGCTGTTTTTTGGCGTATCACGTTTATCAATTAATTTTTTCACTAAACAAATAAATTTGGATTTATTTTTCTAACTGTGTTGACGGAAGTGAGTATAGATATTATTTTAATAGTTTTTCATATAATTTTTTTTATTAATAAAATATATTTATATTTTTCTCTCTCATAACTCAGCAGAATCAACCAATCATGTCACTTCCATCAGAATTTCATAAATTTCATCAAAATAAGCTATTATTACTACGTATTAAATAAGCTAATGTGGAGTATACTATTTATTGTAAATATTACTCGTATATATTGAACGTATAAGGGGTTTAAAATTATGTTTAACATACATTTAAATATTTGTGGTAAAATAAAGGATTACAAAACATTTGATAAAATGTGTGGAGTTGAATACAATAGTGCATTAGTATTGGACTCACTCCATATCTATTTAGTTATCCAAGTTTCCTTCTTGATATGTATCAAATTAATTGTCTCATTTTTTTTTGGAAAGAAACACTCTCAAAAAACAGCTACAGTACCGCTACATTACTACTACAATACTAAAAAGCTCTTACTTTTCATATAATCTATGATAATTATCTTAAACTATGTAAGAAAACAAAGCGGGTCAATTAATTAGATACGGGAGAGTAAATGTTTAGTGTTTGGTTTATAAGGACTTTAACATTTATTTTATTTTATTTATGTATAAAATATAATTTTAATACATTACTTTCACTTTTTGCACACTTAAAAATTCTCACAAGATTGTGAGCATTGTTTTGGTGACTAAGTTCAACACTTGAATGTAGTACATCCTGAGCTCATATATAAGTAGTATAGGGGTGGGATAAACTGAATCCAAACTCAAAAACCGATTCTGGCCCGGATTGAATAATGTCGATCCGGATTTTTTCTTTTTAACTTTCTCGAATATATAAAATTTGGACCGAACCTGAAAATTCGGGCTCATTAACGGGCCCTAAAATCTGTAATCCGGCCTGGACTGATAAAACCCCAAAACAATTAACTTTAATATAAAATAAATACAATATATGAATTTAATTTATAACTAATTCCTAATATATGATTATAATCATGGTGGATGAAAAAATGACGTAGTAACTACATATATGTTCAGTTTTGAATATCTCAATGACCATAAAAATATATTTTTAGTAACTTTAGTCACATCTCGATCCAGACCCGACAGATCTCACCCCTATATAAGTAGATGTATTAAAATCAGGGGAGGATCCAGGAACCCTATATGCTCTGAGCTGAAGAGTAATTATACTAGACTTAAACATTAGTGGGGTGAGTTGAATATGAAAAGTGGAAAAAATTTACATTAAAAAAATTGAAGAACAATTAAGTCATACTAGGTTTTAGCCCATCATAGCCTGTATATGGATCCTCCCCTGATTAAAATATATTCCCTCCGTCCCGCTATTAACTTCCTACATTGACCTACACACATATTTAGGAAATAAATTTGACTTTACTGTTTAGACACTATTTGGCACTGTTTAGACACTGTTTGACACTATTTTGCACTGTTTGACACTGTTTTGATGTAAGATAACTTTCCATTTAGAGAAATGAGAAGATGATTTTGGGACGGCCCAAAAAGGAAAGCAGGAAGTTAATAGCGGGACAGATGGAGTACATAGCATCATTTACTCTTTCATAGACAAACTCAATATTAAATTGACACTACCCTCTTTATTTTAGATCTTCCTCCGAGATGGCTAGTTTTTCAAGGTTGTTTTTCTATTACAAAATCTTATTTGGTCTAGTATGTATGAATATGTTTAGTTTGAATTTATCTAATCCGGTATGAGATATAGTATCATCTTCATTTCACTATTATCATAATGTGAAGTGATCTGATTTGATTTGTTTAAATTTGCCATGTTCAAATTTGGTCAAATCCGATCTAGTGGTGATTGATATTGAATCAACTGAAAATCCTAATTGCCCTTCGATGCAACCGTTAGTTCTCATTGATAGTCTGCCATTATATACCAGTAACTCTAAGAAAAGTTTGTTTTGTGTACGCCTAAAAACTTATACACCATTTATACGCTCCGTTTTGTTTGTGCACAAATAAATTTTTTCATTTTAAGGTGAATTATCTGTGTCACATGACCTAAATGACGTGTAAGCTTTTGACATGTACACAAAACAACTTTGTCTCTCTAATAAAGGTCTCTCAAAGAAGAACTTGCCACCTGTGGATTAAGGCTTCTAGTATTTCTACCCAAGTAGATAACAGATAGTTGATTTCTCTTAGTAATTTTAGAATACCTCTTATTTTTTATACGGTGTAGAACTTTTCATGGGAGGTTTTCAAAGTACTATCTCCATTTAAGTACATTAATCTGTTTCAACTTGATTAAAATTCATCCAAATAAACTTTTAGTGAATTGATATGATAATGTTCTAAACAAAATTTTAATATATAAACACACGTTCAACCAAGTTCACTTAATTATTACGAAACCTAAACTTCTATTCAAGAGAGTTACTTAATGCTCTATATGTAAACCAACCATAAATCGAATAACTATATTCATCGAGTTTCTGACAAGGTTGTGTATATGTTTAAAGTTCAAACACAAACATGGAATTCCTCGAGGGGAATATCAAGGAGGAGAAAAATAGTAAAAAGGACTATAAGTTACTCAGCACAACCTCAGTTTTTTCTAATCTTTGCAGTTTATACAACTACTGCCGTTTTGTGGCAGTTTATATATCAAAATAATGTCACAGAGATTCCAATTCCTATAACAAATGAACAATTCTTTCAATATATATAACATAATAATGTTACAGAATTACAATATTTCACTTCAATTGAAACAAGTAGATGAAATAATTAAGAATTCGTTTATAAAATTGTGCTTCCGTAGCAATTGCACACAAATGCGTCCAGTGGATCCCCTCATACATCAAAACGAGTTTTTAGCAGCTACAGTGAAAAGGGTGTGTTGTAAACATCAAACGGTTCATTGGCACTTAATTGTGGCTCCTGCACTCACAAAATATAAATGATAAAAACTTATCAACATTGGTGTAGCATTGTTACACAGTTTAAGTCAATAATATGAAAGTTTGATACATTAGTTATTCCAGACAAGGTCATCTAATTTATAAGTTCATTCAAGTTGAAAACTTATACACATTTCACATTGGCGACGGCCGAAATTTGTGTTTTGCTAGTGGAAAAGTCTTTATAAGACTAGGGCGGTTAATGAGCCTAGCCCGAACATCCAGAACTCGAGTTTGATTTTGGTTTGATTCAGAATAGTGGTCTTTGTGTTCACGCTCAAAGCTCGGCGAGCTCTACTACAAATGAGGTTGTGTTCGGCTTGAAAGGTATCCGATGTTCGTATCGAGCGTTCGATAAGCTCGATAAATATGCTAGGATGTTATTTTTTTGATGATACTCATTAATAAGCTCGGCTCGAAGTATTCAGAAAGTACTCGATTCTTCAAAAACCATGTTTAAATTTATAAAATCATACTAACTACATTCAATTTTTGACATATACTACGTATATAACTTGAGCCTATAATTTCACCGTGTTCAATAGCTTGAACTCGGACCGAGCCTAATAGCCTTATGCTCGAGCTCGGCTCGATTAATTATTCATACTTAGAACTTAGCCCGTGTTTGAGTTGGAGGCTTATTAAGCTCGGCTCGTTAGGTTCGAAATCAAGCTCGAACTCGAATAGCTCAACAAAAGTTCGGTTTATTAATAGCCCTATATAAGACTATGGTTATATGTTACAATATTTTCAAGGATATGATGTACAAGTAGGTAGAATTACAAGAATAATAACGGAAACAGAAAAGTTACATGTATAAACCAGGCAAAATTCCTTAATATTTTGATGTGTTGTAGACCCGAACTCTAAATTATTAAGTCAAATACTAGAGTAATTTACAAGTCTGAGTGTAGTACCTGTCGTTTGCCATTGATCCCTCCTGTTGTAAGCATTAGCATAAGAGTTGTCATAAAACTACCAGCACTGCGTATGGAAGTTCTCATATCCTTCAAGATACTCCCATATGTTGTTGTCCCTTGTGCATGTTCAATTGCTTGGATAAAAGAAAAGGTCATTGCCCCTGTTGAGGTCACCTTTGATAAAGTCTGCCAAGTGGATGAAAATGTTGTGTTATTAGCATTTTCAAATACTAATATTCAATTGAAGAACAGGCAAGAAGTTTAAGTACTGCTCACATCAGTATCAGCAGAGGTTTGGTGATCATCACAGCCACTGAAGCATATAACCTCTCCCCCGCTCGTCCCTTTCCATGTCCCCGATCTAGGACGGTGGTCCTCCCATCCACACTTCCCATTTCTGCATACAAATAAAAATGATGTAAGAGGCTTAAAGCATACCTTGTTTTGGCTTAAGGTTATTGTAATTCAAGAAATTGATCAATCCTTGTGTAGTATACATTGTTTTCTTTTTAGCCTATTGGCCAACCTCCTCTTGAAAAAAAAGGGTGGCAGAATATTAAGTTTAAGGTTCCATCATAAAAAGTTAAACTAATACAAGGAAAGCTGACTTAACATGCACGGGCAACTCGGCAAGATGATGGCTCATTGAAGCAAAAACTTAGAAATTTACACATTTACAAACTATACATGAAGTTGGATTGAGTTGTACAAACCGAATTCGAGCATGACAAACTAATTCAAAACAGATAAGAGTATATGTTTCTGTTAGTATTTTGGGCATAAAAGGATGCATGTGTTAAACAGGATGAACTCACAAACCTGTCCATCCTACAAAGAAAGGGAAGATCAAGCATAGTGCCACTATGACAAGCGTCTATAATTGCATGAAGCTTAACTCCGCGGGGAAGCGGCCTGACTAGTGTCACATTGATCTCATCATCCAAAATCATTCCTTGCGTCTC